TTACTGAACACGCCGTAGAGATCGTTAATTGGTTTATTCAACAATCTACAAGAAACGGCTACAATTAATTATCACACAGTTGTGGTGTTTCACACTTTATAACCCTAATCGCATTAATCTGTTAACACTGTTGCGGGGTTTCACGATTTATAACCCTATGCGCAAATCAGTTCACTCTATGTTCAGTAGTCTACACGTTGACAGTAGGGGAGCTAGGTATCACTGTATCACATGCTCCCAATTACACAATCACACACACGTCCGGATCTTCTTTCCGCGACGGCTGCTATACTCCAACTGTAGTCCGCTGACTGGAGAACTGTTGATAACACACTCGGTGACTGTCACAGTACAACTGACTCGGCGACTGTTACGTTACAACTGACTGGTAGCTGCTGTGCAGTTCCCTTATATAGCCGCAGTGGTGCCTGTTGCGTGCCACGTCACAGTAGGAAGTTGATTACGGGTACGTAGCATTGCGCGTTACGTCACCACGGAGGGGTGGGAGGGAGCGCTACGTTACGGCCACGCGCCTGTGGCCTGAGTTGCCACGTTGCTGCTGGGTAGGGAGGTGTTCTCCATTGCGCAACATGTTACAATATGTACGTTTCCGTGTTTTTTGCACCAACTAGAGTATGCACCAAAAGATACAGTACTGAAATGAAAAGATATCCTGTTGATACCACTTTCTATTCATGTGAAGGCCCCTTGCATGACAGAACCTCAAATCCTGAAGAAATGGTCTGATCACCATGTCCCAGTAGCATTCTTGGGTGTTGGTGAGAGCATTGCCTTCCTCATTCTCAATGAAATAGGGGCCCAATATACCGTGCGCTGAGATGGCACACCATATCGTCACACGTGTACTATGTAGCGGTTTCTGGACGATAGCATCTGGCCGCTCAAAACCAAAGAAGCGAGATGTCTGGCGACCACATTTTTAATGAGCAGAAATAATACTCAACTATGAATACTTTTTCCTCTGTTGAGAGACCCATTTCCAACAACAGCTGCACAACACAACTTCCTTTTCACTGCTGAGAACACATGCAGATGGAGCTATGCCCTGTCAACAAACGCACATGCGCGTTCAAGATGCGCGAGTTTCAGTATTGCATCTTTTGGTGCATACTGTACTATATAGTGCATTATGTGGTTCCTGCCAGTACATTATGAGCTAGTTGTAAAGTGTATCTTAATGTTTAATGCACTGAAAGACATATTACAAATAAAATATTGTCACGTGTTGGGTGTATAATGCGACAAATAACTTCACGCCTTATTGGATATAGCGAATTTTATTTCACACTCGCTCTTACAATCACACAATTTACAGATCCACAATACTGCCTTTGGCAGTATCACAAATACTACACTGCAGATGCTGGTTGACTGCCTGGCTGACTCTTAACTCATAGCTCAAGAACTAACTCATTACTCTCTGTTGGCTAAATTGAGAACTTGAGAACTCAGAACTGACTAACTCAGAGCTAACTTGAGAACTAACTGCTGGCTAGATTGAGAACTGTCTTGAATAGTCTTCGCTGCTCCTTATTTAGCCCCTTTCCAGACAACACAGAAAACAGCCACATAATAGCTACCACTGTTATTACCGTTGTCTCTCGCAACCACTGCTGTCTGCCGCCGTGGTGGCTGATAGCCTAGCAACACTGTTGGGAGTTGTTTACCGCTACTTAACAACTGCGGTGTCCCATGTTACGTCACCACTGTTGACTCTCATTTCATAGCGACCAGTATGCTGGGACTCGGCTAACTTCGGCTCCGCTCGGCGCGTCACGTCCGGCGAGGGGGGGGAGGGGTGTCATCCATAGTGCAACACGTCACAATATTAAAGTATGTCTCTCTTTGTAGGTGTCAATCACTGCCATGGAAGAATCTCGAGTACTAATTTGGCATCGTGACAAGCTAAAACTTACCATCATCACCGATCAGTTTCTTCAGGCTGTGTTCGATCATATCTTGGGGAGAGATGTGGTAAAAAAGCTTATGCAGGTAATTTCTGTGTTTTAAATTTTGTATTATCATATTTTTAACAGAGAGGCTCTCACTATGGTTCCTTCCCATTTACTGTGATTCAGTTCTAAAGCAGTTTCTTGCTTCTGCCTGCACCAACCTTTCGAAGGATACAAAAATGCATCTTCAATTGTCAGATTATGAACCATGTAGCTAATTTGTTTCTTGTTAAATGTCAGTCGCTGATATCTTAGTTGAAAGACAGCATGGATAGGCACTGTTGCAGACAAAGAATTATCTTAGCAAGCTGAATGTGCAGAAAATAGAAAGGAATTTTTAAGAGAGACAAATATTGATATCCCTTCCTGATCATTATATTGTCTAGCAAAGCAGGTTTGTTTATTTAAAGTAGAATATTTCACAGGATATCATTTGCATGCTGTTTGTAACATGCTGTAACACAAGCACTGAAAATTTGAAAAATATATCTGCCATATAGGTTGCATGTTATATGCATTCCTTATTACTATGAAATAGCAAGTTAACACAGGAGTGAAAGTCTTTAGCTGTCAAAACATATGATGTTGTATGGACTCCTCTGTGAAGTTAAGGCATTCATGCTGTGATCCTATACAATTATGCATACTCTTGTATGTTATAATGCCTGTAGGCTGTAGATGGATCAGCACACCATTGGACCAATGCACATTTGCATTTGCCACAACAGTGCAGTTGTCTGTTCAAGAAGTGAATTTCTGTGCTGTATAGGTATGCATAAGTTTGAATTTAAGAGGGATTTGTGTAATTAACGCAGGTAGGCTCAGGCAGTCAGGCACTGGCTTCCCACTTCAGAGCATCAGGTTCAATCTTGGGTGACACTGTGAAATTTGTGGTGGACAAAGTGGCACTGTCGCAGGTTTTTCTCTTTCTGATCAGTAGTCCACCTTTCCTACATACTCATTCTTCAGCTCTCCCTGAAGTGTGCAGTAGCCCTGAGCTGGCAGCACATTTTCAATCTTTGAGGTGTCATCTCTTACCAACAGCTCGTCAGAGAGCAGGAAGTCAGTTTTGTGGAATTAACAAAGAAATTTGATAGGGTAATAATTTTATATAGCATCATCTATGAGCATTTCAAGCAGGTCGAGGAATTCCTATTTATGTGGAACCCAGATGTTCATCACCATGATTCCAAAAGTTCACTTTTGGACTTTATCCTGAGCTATTTCTGCCAAGTTTCTCATGTTCACATCCTTTTTATTTAAGATCCATCTTAATATTATTCACTCTTGTAGGTCTCCCAAGTAATATCTTTGTCTGAGTTAATCACTCTAATAATATTAGGAGAAGAATTAAAGTTTCCTAATCTGCTACAAGATACAAGCATTGAAAGGAGCATTCATACTGAACTGAAGCTGCTCAAATTAAGTTTATTTTCTGTTAAAAATCACTTGTACCATTGTCTGCAAATTTGATCCTTATGCTCCACATTTAGAAAATAGTTGAATATGGAAATATTGTAGTCTCATGCCTCCAATGTGTCCAACTCAGTTTTGACTCCCAGAAGCTGCTCCTGTGTGAGAAACACTTGAAATGGAGAAGGGGATTGTAAAACTTATGCTACATGATAAGTGGCTCAGTTAATAGTCCTGTGTTGGAAAGTAGTTCATCACACAATGTTTGTTTTACATGCCAGAAATTTGTTTCATCACTTGAAAATATACAGTACATGCCTTGTAAATTTTTTTAATATCCCTTGTATTGTCTTTAACAGAACATAATCCTTGAAGAGTGTAATTCTCCAAAGTATGTATAGGCTATGTGAGACTTGATGTTGTCACAGCAATGAGTATTGTCTTCAGGGATGTGATACTGTGTAGTCTGATGGGTCGTTACTGAAATTTTGGAGGAATGTACTGCTTCCATCTTCAGAGTGGAGGAAGCTTGTTCCTTGGACACATCTGTAAGAGTCTGCCAGAGCACATTGCATCACATCCCAGAAAACAGTAACACTCATGTGTAAGCCAGTTTAAAGACCAGAATTCCTAGTGTTGTGACTTTATGGCTGAAAGCCAGAATAGTGAAAAAAAAAGGGGGGGCAGCCGTTCCTATGCAACAGTATGGTGAACACATGTCCACAGCAAGGAATTAACACACAACAGGAGAGGAATTGCTGGAAGCGATATTTTCTATATGGTCCATGCCAAGGCTATATGACAAGGACTATCAGAAAAACTTAGACAGTTAACATGTCTGTGGATACAACATGGCACCTTGGCTTGCTGGATGAATGATATAACTTAAAATTCTTGGTCGGTCTTATGAAGCTTATTAGCTCTTTCTTTCTCAGAAAACATTCAAAAGTCCTGGTTGAAGGTAAAATATCTATGCCAAGGGACATATAAGTACAAGCAAGGGTGCCACAAGGTTCTGTCCTGACCTGCCCCAAACACCTGATGTATATCTAGGTCTCTTTGTTGCTGACACCTGTATGTATGCAACACACTGCAAACAGTGTTATGTTCTCAGAAATCTGCAGCGAGGTCTCAGTGCTGTTGAGACATGGTTTAAGAGCTGGAACATAAAAATCAATGAAGATAAGACTCAGTCCATCTATTTTTCTCATAGACTTAGGCCCTCTTAGGCTCATCTTACATTGAATGGACGAACATCCCTTTTGTTAGTCGTGTAAAAATACTTGGTATAATCTTCAGTAAGAGGATTAAATGGAGGCTGCTCATAGAAATGATTGAAGCCAAGGCCTGCAGAACGTTTATTAGAATCTACTCCCTATTAAAAATTGAGCATTTAAGCGCTAACATTAAAGTAACCCTCCACAAGGCACTGTTCAGATCAGTAATGACTTACACTTATTCTGCCTGGGAATTAAGAAAACAAGGTTCTGTGCACCATTGGAAATTTTCTAAGGTGCACATCGGTCTGCGATTTGACCACAGCTTGAACTTTCCATATGTATATGGATATACATCAAAATTGTGCAGGCAACACACAGAAGTCACACAAAATCATGAGATTTAACATGTTTGCAGTATAGGACAAGATGAAGCCAGACATAGAAAACGTAAGAGGCTTAAACTTGGGAGTGGTCAAGCTTACGACCGTTCAACTGATTAAACTGCTGTTGTGGCATAAGATACATAGGATAGCCATGATCTACTCTGTAAAGCCTGTACTGACAGAGGACTTGTGTATAATGGAAAAGGAAGAATTTTTCATTAGACGTGAATATGTGCAAAATGTATATTTGACGAAAAGCCAAGCATATTCATAAGAGACAAACCCATCTTCTCATCAGAGAGGATGTTACATAAGGACTATTACCACAAGAGTTCAGTTGGAAAAAATCACTTGTCGTGGGTCTCAAGGGGCCTGGCATCAGGACAAACTGATTGGTGGTAAACCACCAGTCATAAAGTAACTTTGACTTTTGAGTTAGCCAGTCATGAGTCAGAAGTCACAAGTCATAGTCGGCAGTTACCAGTCTAAAATCCTGAGTTGCCCTGTTAGATGCTGTTGCCAAGCAACGACTATTGAAGAAATAGAGGACTTAATGTTTGTGGTAATGATTCTTAGAGTGTTTAGATTAGTGAAAGTGTTATAGTTATTTGTACTTATAAGTGTTCAGTAATTCCAATTACCAATCCAAACTTCATGTCTAGTCACTAATATGTGACAGCAAGCTTTAAATCCTCCACTATCACTTTGAATCTGATGGAGACAAATTATATGAGGAAGTTCAATGGAGACAGATTATTTTAGGATGGCAAGAAATAATTGATTGGGAAGCAATAATGGTTTTCTGTGGATGCTTCTAGCAAATAAGATGTAAAAGTTTTTGATGGTACATTAGTACAAATATTATGTTTTTGGACATTATCCATCATCTTGTCTTTATCTAAAAACTGTACTGTTTATTTTTCTTCTTGAAGCTGGCACAGATGTTTGGGGATACGGACTAGTTTCATTGATTTGGCCCAACTGAGTAGGTTTTACCTAAAGAGACAGACAGAATCCAGTCTCCAAAATGTTGGTTTTAAAAATAAACATTATGGTTTTTAGATAAAGACAAGATGATGGATAATGTCCAAAAACATAATATCTATACTGCTAGCATTTTGCCTCTATTTGGGAGACTGGGAAGGATGTGGGAGTTTAATGTTAAAATCAAGCATAAAGAAATAGATTGTGGACTGAACTGGAGCAGTATGAGGTCCAGCTGTGAGTATTAATAATAGCTGTAAATGAATTTTCACATTCTGTTACTACACTGGTAAATTTTATGGCTTGTTACCTTTAGAATAGAATATTGCCCTTATGTCTAAAGTCTTACAACATTTCAGTGAAGAGATTCTAAGCGTTTATTAACTTCTATAATTTTCTAAAGCAACATTAGTCATCTCTATTACCACACATTTCATTTCAGTACACTAATGCTATAGAGTTGTAGTACTGGTAGTGTCAAGAAGAACCCCATCACCATAATAACACATAAAATTATAACGTGGTTTACAGTCTTTTGGTGCAAATTAGACTGAACACTGTGTTGTCATTTTTGGTACATATCTTCCTCCTCTTTCTCTTCAACCTTCTCAGTTTTATGTGACTTTATAACCAATTCTAGGCTGTTACTTCTGGTGCTATCCACCCTTGCTTGTGCATCCCAGTGGATGCATTCTCTTACCTTCAGAATCTGACCTTGCATGTTCTCCATGTGACCTGGTCACTCAATCCTGTAATTCTGAATTCACCAAATTTATATTTTGTGGCTACATCTTTAATGAAAATATGAAATGCAAATGCCAAGAGATTTCTCAAGACTCACATTTGTCTTTGCTTTGTTCTCTTCTCGTCATCCCATCTTAGGACATACCTTTTGGTTCGGTAAATAACAGCTGGGTTTGCTACTGTAACATATAATAATTATTTCTTCTTTGTCCACTGAATTTTAAAGTAATTTGTATTCAGTTGCATGCATTTCTAAATATCTGTAGAGAGGAGACATAGGAGACAAATTCAGAAAT